CCTTCCTTCCTTCCTTCCTTCCTTCCTTCCTTCCTTCCTTCCTTCCTTCCTTCCTTCCTTTTTGTGACCAGGCTGGGCTAGAACTCAGAGAGATCTGCCTGCCTCTGTCTCCCAAATGCTGGGATTAAAGGTACATGCCATCCCTTCCCAGATTTTAAATTTTTGTTTGGTTTTTTGTTTTCAGTTTTTGGTTTGGTTTGGTTTGGTTTGGTTTGTTTTTTTTTTTTCAAGACAGGGTGTCACTATGTAGCTCTGGCTGTCCTGGAACTCACTATGCTGACAAGGCTGGACTCGAGCTCACAGAGATCCACCTGTCTCTGCCTCCCGAGTACTGTGATTAAAGGCGTGCTATGGTGCTATGGCTAGATTGTTTAATGTTTTTAGATGTATCTTTAGTTTTATGTGTGTGTGTTTGCAGCGAGTACCCACACGTGTGGGTGGGTATCTATGGAGACCAGGAGATGTCAGATCTGGAGCTGGACTGGTTGTGAGCCACCTAACTTGAGAACGAGCTCAGGTTCTCTGGAGGAACAACACACATTCTTAATCTCCGAGTCATCGCTCGAGGCCAGAAAGGAGAGTTTTTGAGTTAGTAATAGTGTACAACTGTAGTTTCAGTACTTGGGAGACAGAAGCCAGAGGGTCAGGACTGCAAGGTCCTTTTTGGCTACACGGGGACTTCAAGGCCAGCCTGGGCTCTATGAGACTTTCTCAAAAAATTTAACTTTTTAACCTATTTAACTTTGTGTTCATTTGGAATGTTGGCACTTAAACTCAGAGCCTATTGCATGCTAGGCCAGTGTTCTACCACCAAGCCGTCCATCTCCCATCCACCTCCCCTAGTTGGTTTTGTGAATCTGATGCTTTCAGACCTTTCTATTTATAGTAAGAGGGTTTCAGTTACCGATATGCATAGTACTGCAGCCAAAGCCTCCTGTCATTTAATGAGCAAGTTGCTTAACATTACTTTGTTTATACATTGGGAGACCAGCAGATCTCAAGTAAGAAGCATCGTCCATCTCTGCAGTGACAGTTCCGAAAATGAAGCATCTCCTACACAGGAGACGTGCCACCCGATCTCATGCCTCATATCCCCAAGTCACGATCTTGTCCAGAATGTTTGGCACTAGTCATCCACCGTTCACACCGGACCTTCAGCAGACTGCGGCAGTGGTCCATCCACATTGCTGTAACGAAATACCTGAGGCTAGGTAACTTACAAAAGGGAAGTGGCTTATGTAGCTCATGGGGTAAAGGTCATGGTGCTGGCCCTGCTGAGAGATGCATTTACAACATAGCATCTCAAGGTGCATGGTGTCACAATGCCAGGCATTTGAATTTGAGAGGGAAAGATCACACAGTGGACCAGGAAGTGTCAGGGAGAATGACCCAACCTGCTCTTTTTGTTCTCAGGGCTCCACATTAAAGGATCAAGCCTCCCGGGGAGGAAGCAGGAAGTGAATCCTTTAGGGGGCTTGAAGGAAGACCCTAACCCCTCCCTTCCATTTTGTCTCCCACTTGCCACGCTGCCACACAGCCTCCTCCTGCTGTGATGAACTGTGCCACCCCAGCCCACGTGGTGAAATCTCTGAACCTGAGTCAAAATTAACTTCTCCTCCTCACAACTTGATCTTCTCAGGGACTGAAAGCTGATGAATACCCAAATTCGGAGGGAATGCCCCCAAGAACCTGTGTTCTAGGAAGACATCATGGGTGGGCCTGCAAGATGGCTTAGTGGGTGATGTCACTTGCCACCAAGCTGGGTAATCAGAGTTCAATCTCTGGCAGCCACAAGTATACCATAGCGCTTATATGTGCACACACATTCATGCACATATGCAAAAGAAAAAAAATACATAAAAACTATGAGTTTCTCAAAAGCTTGAGAGAGCATGTGTAAAATGTCCCCGTTTGTGCAGGCAAGAACTGGGAGAGACAGCCTTTCTCCATTGTTCTTCTTACTCTGCAATGGTAGATTCATTTCTGGATCTATTATGAAGGTCAGAATTCAGGTTACCTCATGTCTCCAACTGTTGGCTAAGGTCAAGTTCTCGATCCTACCTAATGTCTTTAGGATAAGCCTGAGGACAATCAACGTAAGGCCTTCAGGATGTCAGGAAGAGAGAGGGAAGGACCGAGATGTCCTGAAGAACAATTGGCTTCCCCAACCAAGATGTGAGTGCTTTTGGAGAGAGCTCTCTGTCTCCTGTCAGTCCTTATTTTAGCTGAGGTGCTAGGAAGAAAGCAGGGAAAGGGGGGAGCTGTGGTATCAGGAGGCAGGGAGGGAGCATGGGGAGAGACTTCAGCTAGTGGCAGCTTCCCTCCTGCACTGGAGTTGGTAAACTCGGGTGTCACCCAACTCTGTCAGTCACAGAGGGCAGTCATTAGCCTTTAGCTGCCAATGCTTCCATCACATTTAGAATGTAGCCAGGATGGCCTTCAACTTGTCATCCTCCAGGCTTTACTTCCCAGACGCTGGGATGACAGTCTCATGCCGCCATGTCTGGCCCTCCCTTATGCTTGAATCAATTTGTTATTAGTTTTCATTTCTTTATTTTTGCAGTGTTGGGGATTGAACCTAGAACATTATACATGCTCTAGCACTGAGCTGCACCTTACCCATCTTTTGTAGTTCTGAAAGTGGGGGCTACTCCACTGCAAGAAGGCATCAGCTGCTCTCTGACCACATCTTATGGGAGGAGACACAACACTGGTTTCCTAGTAATGTAAGGACAATTTAATTTCAACACAGGACTTGACTTCTGTACAGAAGATAATTTGATGTTTTAGGAATTCATGGTAGGCATTTCTTCCATCCTGTGGTCAATCATTGACAGGGGAAGCCAGTTGCATCTGCCTCCTGGTTCCTGACCATTTGGCAAGAAGGTGTTTCTGGCTTTTAGGTCAGCAGGCCTTGCTCCTCAGGAAGAAGACCTGGCTGTGACTGCTGGGAAGCAGGCTGGCTTTTCATTACAGGCCTTCCCCAACCGTGCCTGGGCTGTTTCCAAATCTAGAATGTTCCAAATATCCTCTCTGCATCTTCCTGCTCCCCACACTTAACTACTGTCTTTGTACAACAGAGAAGCAAACTCCACTATAAAACAGCTGGATTTGGGGGAGACAGAGACCAGTATGAGGAAAATCCATCCCAACCCTCTTCCTCCAGGGCCTGAAGTCTTCATTTCAATATGAGTTCTTAAGGACAGTGGTGTCCCCTTTCCTCAAGAGTCTGTGCTGCCCATCAGGCTAGGGGTAAGGCTCAGCCAGCAATGCTACTGGGAGACACTGGCGTCTGCATACCCTGGCTTTTGTGCTGGCCTCCCACCCATGTTCAGCAAGTACAGCGGGTGCTCTCACTGGGGACATGGGCCACAAGAACTGGGCTGGAATCCTGGGAAAGCCCTTGCTGGGCACTCTCCCCGTACAGGTGCAGGCTATTGCGGGCAATTAACTCCTTCGCCATGAGCACAAAGACTTCATCTATGTTTCTGGACTCCTTGGCGGATGTTTCCAGGACAGCCAGGAGACCATACTTCTCAGCCAGTGTGCAGGCATCCTCAAACAGGACATGCCGATTCTCCCACAGGTCTGATTTGTTCCCTGTGGGTGAAAGATGTGTAAATGTAATGAATAACAGAGCCTGTCTTTATCCAAAGTGAACCTTCTTCCTCCTCCCCTTCCCTTTTCTGTCTTTGTACTTAAAAGGGTTTAAAAAAATTATTTATTTATTTATTTATTTATTTATTTAATGTATGTGAGTACATTGTCGCTGTCTTCAGACACACCAGAAGAGGGCATCAGACCTTGTTACAGAGGGTTGTGAGCCACCATGTGGTTGCTGGGAATTGAACTCAGAACCTCTGGAAGAGCAGTCAGTGCTCCTAACCACTGAGCCATCTCTCCAGCCCCTTAAAAAGTTTTTTAAAATTGCATTTATTTCTTGTGTTGGAGTGCAGTGCATTCACATGCCACAGCACATGTGGAGAGGTCAGAAGTCAACTTTCAAGAGTTATTTCTTTTGGGGGATTGAACTCATCTTAAGCCTTAGTAGCAGGCGCCCTTATCACTTAGTCATCTTGCCCACCCAGTCTGTGTTCTTTGAGACAGGTTCTCATGTTGCCCAGGCTAGTCCGAACCTTGTTATATAGTCACAGTCCATAAGGTGTTAGCCCAGGCCTTCCTATGCTCTACAGGACGCCAAATGTACCAGATGTGAATCTGGCAAATCCTAAACTCTGAGATATCTGTTTCTAGCCACCATGCCCAGCCCTTTGATTGACATTTTAAGAAGAGAAATTCTGTATGCCCAAGACCTTTATAAAGCTGACATCAGTATAATCTACCACAAGAAGTTGCCTTCTAAACTCTACTCTTTTTAGAGACAAGGGCTCAATGAATTTGGACCTCACTGCTTTGGATAGAATGGCTGGCCAATGAACTCGGTAGATCCTTCTGTTTCTCCTCCCAGCGCTAGGTTACAGATGTGTGCCACAGCGCCTGCCTTTGGCCTTGGTTCTGATGATCTGAGCTGATGTCCTCTGGCTTTTATTTTTGATTTTTTTCGAGACAGGGTTTCTCTGTGTAGTTCTGGCTGTCCTGGAACTCACTCTGTAGACCAGGCTGGCCTCGAACTCAGAAATCTGCCTGCCTCTGCCTCCCAAGTGCTGGGATTAAAGGTATGTGCCACCACTGCCCGCCCTGTCCTCTGGCTTTTAGAACAAGTACTTTGTTGACTGAACTATCCCCCCACTCCCACCTTTTAAAGAGAGTTTCACTATCTCTTCCTCATGCTACCCTTGAACTCTCAATTTTCCTGTCTCACCATCCAGAGACCTGGGATTACATGACTGCCCTCGCTCTCAGACTCTCAGGACTCTCATGTGAATCCACAACTGAGGGACGCAAGCCGAGCACCAGCAGGGTTGGGTCAGGAAGATAACTGCGTGGAAAACGTCCTACCGATCAGCATGATGACCAAGTTGGCGGCTCCATATTTTTCTATCTCATGGATCCAGTGGGGGACAGATTCGAATGTGGACCGCCGTGTGAGGTCATAGGCGATGATGGCTGCATGGGCACTCCGGTAGTAGCTTTGGGTGATGGTACGAAAGCGCTCCTGGCCTGCTGTGTCCCACACCTGCATCTGCAGAAGGACGGAGGCTATGACAGGAGTTCTAGCAGCATGGACTTTCCTTCGTTTAAATCATCATACAAACAGTTTCCCGTGGGCTGGCAAGATGGCTCAGAGGGTAAAGGTGCTACTGCCAAGTCTGATGACTCAAGTTCAATCCCTGGGACCTCCTATTGAAGGGAAGGAGCCAACTTTGGCAGGTTGCCCTCCTTTCACAAACACACAGTGGCAGGCGTGCTGGTACAGCCAGAGGCACACACTACACATAAAAAATATAAGTTTTTTTTTTTTTTTTTTAAAGAACAAATGAATTCTGGGATCTTATTTCAACCCCTTCAGATTCAGTAGGGACCTGCAGGGATAATATGTGCTCTCTGGTTTAGCAGTCACCCTGAGAGTCTCTTCCACTGATGGAGGATATATTTATTCCTGAATCTTTTCTTTTGACTCTTGACCTCAAACATCCCTTAGCCTAGATTTTTGGATTCATATTTCAAGTTTACCCACTGGGAAGAACTCTGGCAAAGGGGATGGCATAGGCTGAACTGCATTGGTTTTAAAAGACTGTGGGGAAAATTTAAAAGGCTGCCTCAGCGGTGTGGCCCCGGAGGGGCTTCCACCGCTGTGTCGGGTCCCACATTCAGTGGGGGTGGGGGGAACTCTATGGTTCCAGCGGCCTGGAGGCCTTGGCGACGACAGGCCCCAATAACATGAGGAAGTCCTTGGTTCCAAAAAGGTTTATTGTCATGGCGGATGATAGATGGATCTAGGCGTACCCCCCAGAACTCAGGGCAGTCCTGAGTTATATACAGAGGGAGAAAGGGGGAGGATTGGGGGAGGATCTGGGGGAGGCATGTTTAATTTGCTCTGCCCTCTGGCCTTCATTAGTATGTAAATCCCTAGGGCCTGAGGCCTCTAGCCTGGCCTATGTAATTCTATGGAGACCATGACTGCTTTTTCAGGATCCTGGGTTCTGGGGGGCACCAAACTCCTGCCAGTTCTCATGTAGAATCCCACCCAGAATCTACAGAGTCTCGGGGTTCTAGGCACCTGCTCCACCATGATCCAGGATACCCTTACACAGTCCCACAAAGGACCACTCAGAATGCTCACACTCTGTAGGACCCTTACACAATACTTTCCAGGTTATTGTCTGAGACATCAATCACATCAGCACCAACTCACACAGCTTCCAATAAAAATTAATCTAGAATCATTTTATGTGCATTTTGCATGCATGTATGTGTACACGCACGCACGTGCACCTGCATATGTGTGCCTGGTGTCCACAGAGGCTAGAAGAAGGCATCAGATACCCCAGAACTGGAGGTGAGACAGCCTGAAACTGGAGGTAAACTAGAACAGATTGTTGTGAACGGCCGTGTGGGTGTTGGGACTCAAACCTGGGTCTTTTACAAGAGAAGCAAGTGTTATTAACTACTGAGCTGTCTCTCCATCCCTGTGTATACATTTTTGTTTTTAAGATAAAGTCTCATATGGTCCAGGCTGGCCTTGAACTCAGTATCCAGCTGAGGTTGTTCTGAAACTCATGATCTTCCTGCTTTCACCTCCCAAGGGCTGATATCATAGCCATGAGTCTCTATGCCTGGCACTGCTCACCATATATGTCATACCATTTATGTAAAAATTGATCCCTGCCGGGCGGTAGTGGCACATACCTTTAATCCCAGCATTTGGGAGGCAGAGGCAGGAGGATTTCTGAGTTTGAGAGTTCGAGGCTAGCCTGGTCTACAGAATGAGTTCCAGGACAGCCAGGGCTACACAGAGAAACCCTGTCTCGAAAAACAAAAACAAAAAAATTGATCCTTAACCTGGTTTGGTATCTGTAATCCTAGCTACTCATAAGGCCGGGGTAAGAGGATCACAAGTTCAAAGCCTGCCTGTACTATAAAGCAATTTCAGTACCAGCCTGACTTAGCCAGACACTGCTTCAAAAGTAAAATATAAAAAAAGGCTAAGATGTAACTCAGTGATATGGTGTTTCCTTAACACGTACAAAGCCCTAGTTACAATCTATGCTATCAGAAAAAAATGTATGTCTAGGGGTTGGGGGACCATGTGCCATGGTGTATGTGTGGAGGTAGGAAGATGTAGAGAGAATCTTTTGTGAACTGTATGGAAGCATCACCTGTCAATAAAAAGCCCTATGGCCAATGAGCTGAGACAGGAACTAGGGGGCGGGAGTTCCAGCAGAGTTAGAGAATAAATCTGGGAGAGTCAGGTCTGAGGGAGATCTGCCTCAGACTCTGAGGAAGACTGTCATAAAACTGAGGACCAGATATCCAAAGATGTGGAAGATATAGAATGATTTAAACATTAAACAGGTTAAATAAGTAATTACCTAGTCAGGGAGCAGACCAAGGCTACTGGCATAGGCATTTATTAATAAATAGTCTCAAAGTTATCTCTGAGAACAAAGTGGCTGGGTAGAAAGCCCACAAGTACAAGAAGACAACTTGTGTCCAGGTCATCAGGATTGGTGGCAAGTGCCTTTATCTGCTGAGACATCTTGCCAGCTCCTCTCCCCTTTTATCTGTTAGTGAAAAATGGTTAACAGGGCACCAAACAGGAGAGAATAGAAAAAATGAGTCTTCCTACACTGGGATTCAATAATTATTAAGATTTTCCTTTTTGGGGATTCCCTTGTACTGTTCTTTGATAGTCAGTCCCTTCAGCTGAACTTACGTTAATACACAGTAGCTGCCTTCTTCTTTTTTTTTTTAAAGGTTTTATTTATTTATTTATTTATTTATTTATTTATTTATTCATTACATGTAAGTACACTGTAGCTGTCTTCAAACACCCCATAAGAGAACATCAGATATCATTGTGGATGGTTGTGAGCCACCATGTGGTTGCTGGGATTTGAACTCATAACCTCTAGAAGAGCAGTCAGTGCTCTTAACCATCTCACCAGCCCAGCTGCTTTCTTTTTTAGTTTTTGAGACAGGGTCTCTCTAGGTAACCCTGGATGGCTTGGGACTCACTAAGCAGACTAGCTGCTGTCTGTCACATTTCCTGTCATCCTCCTGCCTCTGCCTTTGGAATTCTGGACTTACTACTTCTCCAAGCTACAAATAGACATTCACTTACATAATAACCATTCCAGTATCACTGCCAACAATTTCCTGATGTCATCTAATATTGATACCATATAAAAATTCCCCAATGATCCTAAAAAATGTCTTAAATGTTACTTATCTGTCTGTCTGTTTATCTATTTATTTAGAGGCAAGGTCTCTATGTAGCCCAGGCTGGGTTCAGACTTGTGATTCTCCTGCTTCAGCCTCTTCAGTACTAGAATTACAGGCATGTGTTGGCTTGCCCCGCTATCTTATAGTTCTCTGGGAGTAACAATAGGTGTTTACCCTTATTATTTATTACACTTTATTTATGAGTTCTGTGTGCGTGTGCATGTACACGATACACACGTGCTTGTACTTCTCCGTAAGGCTCACAGTCAGCAAAGACAGGATCCGGTGAGGTGAGAATGAAGCTTGGTCCAGCTCGACCCAGGTAGTCAGTGCTGAGCCAAACTTCTGGGGTCTGACACCGGGTTGTTTATTTCAGCCAATATTTAAGCACAGCACAATTTTGGGGGAAAAAAAAGTTTTCTGATGACAATTAACTCAGTCCTATGTGTGCACCAAAGCTTAAGACATGTTTACTTAGAGATTTTTTACAAAGTACAAATAGGCTTCTTCCATAAAAGTGGGCTCTGTTGACTTACACGCAGTGTTCAAGGTTTAGGTTAGGAACTAGGGAGGATGACAAAGATAAACACAATGCCCGTGGGAATCAGGATTGGTTTGGCCTAAGACATTATAGAAGTGGCCACGCAGTGGTGTCATACACCTTTAATCTTGGTACTTGGGAGACAGAGGCAGGCAGATCTTTGAATTTGAGGCCAGCCTGGTCTACAGAGAAAACCTGCATTGAAAATAAAATAGAATTAAAAAGTCACATAGGTCACTGTAGAGTACAAGTGACATCTCTCATAAGGATGGGTTTAATGGCCTTAGAAGCAATGCTCAAGATTTAGGGGGAAAGGGTCTGGGATAAACAAATATAAATACTGGGGGATATGGGTGAAGCCTGGTTCCGCAGATAGCAAAGGGTCACAAGTTGTAAAGTATCTCTTCTTAGCATTCCAAGGGGAAGACAGGTAAACAACTCCTTCTTTTGACGAGGTAAGCCTGTGCATTTAACTTTCCTGGGTCCTCCATTGCTTATCTGTGAGCATAAGGACCTCCTGCCCTCTAAACAGGTGTAGGTGAGAGCAGAGTTTCTCCCACTAAGTAGGACCCAGGGAAGGAACTCAGGTCACCGGACTAGGTAGCAAGCCGACATGGTGGGACTGACTTTGTCCTTACAAAATTGATGAAGTGAGTTTTTTTTCTGGTCTGTGGCCACTTTTTATATTTGGTCATTGTGTTTTGTTTGTTTGTTTTTTTTGGTCTGTTTATTTTATTGATTTACTTTTTTTTTTTTTTTTTTTTTTTTTTTTGGTTTTTCAAGACAGGGTTTCTCTGTGTATCAAGACAGGGTTTCTCTGTGTAGCCCTGGCTGTCCTGGAACTCACTCTGTAGACCAGGCTGGCCTCGAACTCAGAAATCCGCCTGCCTCTGCCTCCCAAGTACTGGGATTAAAGGCGTGTGCCACCACCGCCCGGCCTTGATTTACTTTTAAAGATTTATTTATTTTATGTATATGAGCACACTATTGCTCTCTTCAGACACACCAGAAGAGGGCATTGGATCCCATTACAGATGATTGTGAGCCACCATGTGGTTGCCGGGAATTGAACTCAGGACCTCTGGAAAAGCAGTCAGTACTCTTAACCACTGAGCCATCTCTCCAGCCCCCTTGTCTGTTTATTTTTGAGACAGGATCTCATACAGCTCTGACTGGCCTTGAACTCACAGAGATCCAATTGCCTCTGCCTAAAGCTACATGTAGCTCTGATTATTTTTGAGACAGGGTTCTTATTATGTGGCCCAGGCTGGCCTCAGCCTTTTTTTCTCAGTCTTACACTGGGATTATGGATATGTACCATGACATAGTTGCTAGTCTTCCTCTTAGACGTTTATCCATGTTCTTTTCATGTTGCAAATATTTCCAGTTTGTCAATCCTCTTTTTACTGTTTATCCTATATTTGGACTGTAGAAATTATGACCTTTAGATAGACTTAGCGATATCCTCTTTTTTTTCCCCCCAGAGCTGAGGACTGAACCCAGGGCCTTGCGCTTGCTGTGTGCTCTACCACTTAACTAACTCCCCAACCCCAAGCAATATCCTCTTTAAGGCTTCTGTGTTTATACCTTACTTAAAATGGGGACTCTGGCTGACTAAAGCAATAGAGCTACCCCTGGGTCCGCTCTCACCTTCACTTTCTTGCCATCGATCTCGAGGGAGCGCACGGTGAAGTCCACCCCAATGGTGTTCTGCTGTGACTCACTGTAGACTCCAGACTTGAAATGCTGAACCACACATGTCTTCCCCACATTGGAGTCCCCAATAAGGATGACTTTGAACAAATAGTCCACATTCTCATCCGCTGTTCTGGCTGAGCTGGAGAATTGCATGGCTCTGGCTTCCTAGAACAGAACCAGGGAGGAGAGACAACATTTAGAGGTTTTTTTGGGAGCATCTACCAGGCTCCAGGACTGAGATTATCTTTACTTTCTTGCCTTAGAAGAAGAAAATCTACATCCGTTGTGGCTTTCACAGAGCAAATATTCTCGTGGGTGAAGGATGCCAGCGATTGGTCAGCTGTAGAGAGTTGCCCCATAGATCCACAACCCTGGAATAGGTGGACACCAAAGGCTGTTCTTTGATGGGAATAACATGTAATCAACCCACGTGTCTGTGAGTATACATGAGTACAATGGCCGAAGAGGCCAGAGGGACTGGGGGCCTTGGAACCAGAGCGACAGGCAGTTGTGAGCTTGAAGTGGATGTTGGGAATTGAACTCAGGTCCGCTTACCCTCGGAGCCATCTGTCCTGCACCCATGTGGTCTTTTTATTCTAGGTAGTACTCCCCATTTTTCTCAACCAGGAAATTAAAGTTTTGAGGATATTCCAAATTAAAACTGTAATTAGAACAATAAGTCAAGGACATGTGCGGTGACACACAACTTTAATCCCAGCACTTGGGAAGTAGAGGTGCGTGGATCTTTATGAGTTCAAGGCTAGCCTGGTATACATAGCAAGCTCCAAGATAGCTAAGGCTGCATAGTGAAACTCATGGTTGTGTGTGTTTGAAAGAAAGCTATGGGAAAATTGAGTATGAAAAAGAAAATAATTTATTAAAGGTTTCTAATGATGGTATTTGCTGAACTTTATCAGAATTACTTATTCCAGACCTGCTATATATGTATGTGTGTATATCTATCTATCTATCTATCTATCTATCTATCTATCTTTAATTTATAGGGCTGGAGAAATGACTCAGTCGTTAAGAGCATTGGCTGCTCTTTCAGAGAACCCAGGTTTGGTTCTTACTACCCACATGGCATCTCACAATCACCTGTAACTCCAGTTTTAGGGAATTCAATGCTGCCTTCCGTCCTCTGTGGGCACTGTATGCATGGTGGACACTGTATGCATGCAGAACACAGACACATATTCAGGCAAAACATCCAGACACACCAGATAAAAATAAATACATTAGAAAACATTTATTATTATTATTTTTTATCTCATGTGTGTTCAAGGTGAATGGCAGCCTGAGGAGGACACATGAGGTTGACGTCCGGCTGCCACATGATGTGTACACACAAAGAAAAAAATAAGACAACAGATACACATGTGCATGTTTTCCAGGTGAATCTGATGAGGTTTGAGACCCATCAGTCAATACATCAATCATCTGAAACAACTGCATCCCGGCTTTCAGCGTCTTGTTTACTGTCTTACTGTGCTTACTTACATAACTTCAATCTCAAGGACCCCTATTTCTCTTCAGTACAATTGTGCGTAGTACAAGTGGCAGCTCTACATTCCATGAACTGAAACCTGTCTCCCTGGGATTCCTATCTGTCAATCTCAGAGTCCCCCTTGCTTTGCAACACATTGAATTTCTAGTCCACATAACAACTCAGCAGATATTTGAAGCAGCAAGCATATCCCTGAAAGAGCAGGTACTTAAGCATTTAAACCGTCCTTTACATATTTAGTTAGGTCTCTCCACCAAATATCTCATGAGACCAAAACACCCCTTTGATGATTGGAGTTGAGTAAATAAATTACTGTAAATAAATGAGGTTGAGTAAATAAATGAGGTTGAGTAAATAAATTACTCCCTCCTTATGACACCTTCATTTCTCCCTGATTTTTTTTTTTTTTGGTTTTCTCTGATGTCATAGAAAAAAATCTCATGTCTATATTGACAGACATATAAAAATGCACACAAATGCTCATGTCTATTTTGGCAGACAAATAAAAATGCACACAAATATCCAGTCTATATGTAGAAATCAAACACTTTAAGGAGGTAAGGAATGGTTTAGTACTTCTGTTTGGATGTCCCTGAAATCGCACGGAAAGCTGATCCAGCAGACAAGAGACACAATCAAACCAGTTTTTTTTCTTCTTCCGCGTCTTTTCAACTGAAGAAAGTCATTCTACTTCCGGTATCCTATCACTGTAACTTGAGCTGAAACCTTGTTTCCAACTCCCCTCTTGTTTTTTCCTCTTCAAAGTGCCCGGGACTCCACAAAAGCCCCCTTTAAGCTAGCATATAAGCCCTGCAAGGAGAAACCAGCCGGGTCCTCCCAGACAAAACCATTCCACAACCTCGCACCCTTCACCTCCTGGGTCCACCTGTTGCTTACCTGGGCACTCTCTTACCTCGCTGGTGAGCAGGTAGTTTTTGCTTTTTCTTCGGTTTCCTCTGTAGCCCTCAGTTGTCCTCTTCTTCCTCTTGCCTTGCAGCGCGGTGGGGACTTAAGTTCCGGCTCTTGGCAGCAGGTTTGGTGGCCAGAGAAAGCGAAAGGGAAACAAGGGCAATCCCTCCCACCTGCAAGGAGCCTGAAACCCCGAGGTGAGGTGCTGGCTAGTACAGGGCCCAGCGCAGACAACTAGCTTTCCTGCCAGAATTCATCAGATGAGGAGAAAGCACAGAGAAGAATTGCCTTTCACTCAACTGACACCCGCTAAGCCACCCCGTTCCTTCTTTTGCTCTGCATCCTTCAGCGTACATCCTGCCTGATACGCTTGTTTGGCTGGACTTGAGAGGCTGTTAACTGAGATGACAGCGACTTAAAGGAGGATACTGATCTGGGTCTTGAGTGACTTGTTTTGAGAAGTCTCTGGAAGAAAGGAGGTGCCCAAGCAACTTAAAAAAGTAAAGCAAGGGTCCACAAGATGTCTCCATGGGTAAAAACTGTCAAGCTTGACAGGACCCAACTATTGGCAAGTTGTTTTCTGACCACACATACATGCACAAAGACATGTGCACATGCCAAAGAGATAAAAGTAAAATAAAAAAAAAAAAACAAAAACGAAATAAAAAATTCCAAACCAAATAAACAAAAAGGCCCTGAATTAAAAGAACTTAGAGCAGTTGGGGATTTAGAATACTTGCCTAGGAAGTACAAGGCCCTGGGTTCTGTTTCCAGCACCAAAATAAAATAATAGATAAAATAAAGGTGCTTTACTGCATGTGGGGATGTAGGGAGGGAGTGTTACTTAAAAGTTTTACCACACAGTAGAGGCTAATTTTTAAGTGTGAGGAAACCTAGAGCCGATTAGTCCTTGATGCTGGCAGTAAGAGCAAAGATCTGAGGTAAATTTTCTATTCCTACCCAAAGACTCTATCAATTCTAGACTCTATTAATTAACTACCTTCAGGGCCTATCATAAGAACTAGATTTTCAAGTCGGAGAGATGGTTCAGCGGCTAAGAAAGCTTACTACTCTACCAGAGGACTTGAGTTCAGTTCTCAGCATTCATATAATACAGGAAATAGGAGACGATTGTCCCTCGTTCAAGAACATCGTGTCTGTGATGCCTTCCAATAACCTTTAAGCTGTGACTCATCTTACCCCAAATCCCACCCACACAACGATTTTTTTTTCCAGGAATATCCCTTTTAAGCAAGGTAACCCCAAACTGGGTTAACTTCTCACTCTATCCAGAGAGAAATACACTGTCGAATGCTGCTGCTGGCTGTGGCTTTCAGAGCCACTGTCATGTGTGTAACTTGGAAACTGGTTGTATGTCAAGATCTATCACAGATGTGTGGGCTGGGGCAGGAAATGAGGACCTGCAATGTCAGTGTCAGAGAGGGGAGTTGTAGATGTTTCCTTTCTTTGTTTTGATGATGATTACTGTTTAAGTCCGTTGTCTCAGACCCAGCCCACAGCACACACATGACACACCTAGAGAGCATCTAGAGGTGGAAAGCAAATGTTAAATAGCCCACCGGATGCCTTTCTTCTTAACTTTTATTTTTTCAATTAATTAATTAATTCTTAATTATGCGAATGGGCGTGTCTCTGTGGGTGTGCATGCCATATGTTGGGTGCCCAAGGAGACCAGAGCATGCCATAGGATCCCTTGGAACTAGAGCTATGGCAGGTTGTGAGCTGCCTGATATGGGCGCTGGGGACTGAACTCAGAATCTTCAGAAGAACAGCAATTGCTTTTAACTGCTGCAACCTCTCCCCACACCTCCATCTCCTCTTCTACTTCCTTTTAAATCCACATGTGGAAAACTGAAATGGGTACAATCTGGAAGTCTTCTTACTAGGTTTTACTTTTTGCCCACATCTTTTACCTGAGGCGCTTCCCTTGGCAACCTAGGTGGGTGTGTCCCTCCCTTACCTGACCTTATCTGACTCTCCCTCCTTTTTCTTCTCTTACAGTGTAAGGTGTTTTGCTTGCACACGTGTCTGTGCACCGTGTGCATGCCTGGTGCTGGAGGAGGTCAGACAAAGGCATTGAATCCTTTGGAGTTACAGACAGTTGTGGGGTACCATGTAGGGGCTGCAGATTTAACTCAGGTTCTCTGGAAGAGCAACCAGCTCTCCAGCCCCTCATTATGGCATGCATCCTAAGCTGTAAAACAAACAAACTGATGTCTCTGTGTTGGGGTTTGGGGCTGCTGAGCTACTTTTAGGTGACCCTAAGGCTTTCTGCTTTAGCTTATTACTGCAGCATCTCCTCCACTGGGGGATCTTGAGTCTCTTGCTGTGGCTTCAGTTTTCCTAACCAGAACCCTTCAGGGTTTTAGTAAAGTTTGGATAAAAGTTGATATGCAAATCAAGAGAAGTTTGGTGGATGCCACTAATGCCTTAAGATTAACTGTGAAATGAACCCAGGTCCAGGAATCCCCCCAAAGCAACATTTATCATGCTTGACCACATCGAGGTGTTTCTGGAACCTGCTTACATGCATGTTTTGTGTTTATCATGACTTTTGGAATCTTGCTCTGAGTGTTGGAAGTGTAAGGAAGTGCTCTTATTACCTGGTCTTGGATATCCTGAAAGAGGAGATTGGGTGGTAGCAGGGGCATCTTTCTTCTCCTCCTCTTCTTTATCTTCCTCCTCTTCTTCCCTTTCCCCTTTCTATTTTTTTACTGGTCCCCCTTTCTATTTTTATTTATGGGCTTTTGTATGTCTGTGTGAGTATGCTATGTATGTGTTCACGGAGGCCAGAAGAGGGCATCAGGTCCTCTGGAACTTAGAGTGTGAACCACCATGGAACCAAACCTAAGTCTCCTAGAAGAGCAGCCACTGCTCTTAACTGCTGAGCCATCTATCTCTCCGGTCCCGTTTTTAAAAATGCACATATGTATGTATGTATGTATGTATGTATGTATTTAATCATCTCTCTGGCTACGCTGCTGGGGATCTTAATATGCACGATTTATTTTGGTGCAATGGCAATGGGGTGCAGAGCTGTGACTACAGACAGGTGTATGAATGTTCTTACCTATATGGATAACTACATTTAATTAAACAATAATCTAAAACAGAATTAAGCCTCCTCGTGAGAAAAATGATCAGCCTAGCTGTTCTTCTCAAATTATATCTCTCATTCATTGCTCTTCTCAGGTAACATTTCTGGACCTAGTCCTCTCCTGCAGGAGCTCAGTTAAACCCTACCCGTGGACTTTGCAGCTCGCGGGTAAAGCGGCACTACAGCTCCCAGCATGCACATGTATGCGAGGTCACGTGAGCGTCCGGAAGCTCTGGCCACATCCCGCTGGGTGAGGTGGCGGCGGGGGCGGCGGGAGCGGAGCGTAGCGGAGCGGGTGCTTCGGCGGGTCTCAGGTGCGAGCCTGGGTGCGCTCGGGTGCTTGGGGTCCTGGCCGGGTTGGGCGCGCGGTGGGCTTCAGGCGTGGGGGGCGCGGGCAGCTGGTGGGTGTGGCGGCTCGGGCGCTGCTGGCAGCTGGCCCCCACAAGACCTCGATCGGGACCCCCGCAGGAGCTCCTGGTGCTGCTGCTGTGCGGTCCTGAGGTTGTGTGCACCTTAGAGGGAGGAGGACATCAGAGAGGGAATGTGTCCTCAGCCCAGCCCAGCCCACGCAGCCCTCCAGGGTGCGGGGCACTTGTTCCCCTCGGCCCACCGGTCTTAGATCCTGGGACATTTGAACTGAAGAAAATGAAGTCCAAGGAAAGGGTTCATGGTTTAGCAAGAGGAGGGCCACGTTTCAGGTAGTGTGGGAGGCTTTTGGATAGGATGCACGGAGGTCAGAGAGGGAGAACGGACTTCGTGGAGAAACTAGGGTTTTGTTTTCTAGTAACTACCACGACTTCAGTTAAGGAATTCGGTTCTGCTTCTTATTCGAATGCCAGACTTTGATTGTTCTTATTTGCAGAGTGTGGCCTGTTCTTAATTTTGATAAGACAATGGGGATGTGTCTACTTAGTTTTAACATTTTCTGCAATATGTTAAGCGATGCCGTGATAATTTACTGAAATGTTTAGAGGATGCATAGTTACCAGGGTGAGCCTCTTTAACCATTGCTTGGTATCTTCACACACATTTCTGTTTACAAAACAGTCGCTGATGAAGAGAACGCCTTGACTGCCTTGGTAGTTGAATTATTTCTTTGTCATTTGCCAGATGTTTCCTGTACAACAGACTCTACCCTAAGAACCCAGTAAATCGTTTCATTTAATCCTTAAGTGAGGAAAGCGAGCCTCAAAGAAGTGAAGTAAATGACTTGAACCTTAGTGTCGGAGCTCACTGTGTTTCAGGAGCAAGTTCAGTGTTCATTGTGTAAGGTTCTGGATGAGTGCCTGGTCGTCAGTGAGGATGACATCCCGTTGCAGTGATCATTGGCACGATTAGTTCTTTGTCTGGAGGACGGAGGAGAAAGTAGTTGTCTTTGAATCATGCCCAAAAATAGAAAATAGGGAGAAGTTGGCCTTAGGAACCCAAGAATAAATGGATGTGGTTTCAGGAACCCTGAACCATCTAGATAGCTAAGTCCTTAACATCTGTGGTAATGAGGCAGCTTTAAGAAAAAAGTGTGTGTGTGTGTCTGTGTGTGTGTATGTGTACAAGTGTCAAATAGTCCAGGTAACCACCATTTCCCTGTGTAACTGAAGATGTCCTTGACCTTCTAATCTTCCTGTCTCTGGAGTGCTATCTTGTCCTTGACTTTCTAATCTTCCCGTCTTTGGATGGCGGATAGTGTGCCCCACCATGTCAGGTATCATGGTTGCTGATCAAGCACTCCACTGAACTAGACCATGCTTTTAAGGCAGGCTCTCAAATGAATGTGTGCTTTGCAGCTCTGTAACCCAGGCTGGCCTCATACCTGGAATCTCCCTGCTGGGATTATGGGAGTATACACCTGGGAAGGCTTGAGTTTTGAAAAGAGAAAGGATGTATATGGTACCAATAAATAGCTTTGAGTTAGATGATGAGAGATCAGAAAGCTACTACTGTGTGAGTGCGAGCATTGGCATACAAATGACAGCATATGCAGACCTGTGAAACAGCCAGACCCACCGATCCGGC